GCTCGGCGGGCAAGTCTGGACTGCAGGAGAGGCTGGGCCTGGAGCTCGAACTCCGGGGGACCCGGCATGAAGACAGTGCCTAAGTAAGGAGTCCGCGAAAGCAGAGTGTGGACGGAGAGGAAAGAGGGAGCGCCAGGACTGCGGGCTGATGCTGGCGCCAGGGCCGAGAGCCGGTGCGGGCACGGACGCGCAGCCAGTGGGCCCGAGAACGAGAGAGCGGTAAATCCTGAAGGCTTCTGGGAACGTGGAAGAGGCCTTCCCCCACTTCCCTCTGTGCTTACTGGGATGCAGACGTGCCGGGCGCAAGCCGGAGCAGCAGCATCTTCACTGCAGACATGAGGCAGTGGCTCCAGCACCGGGGCGAGTGAGTCATCTCTGGACAGCCAACGCGTGGCTGCAAGGACGGCAACAGGTACTGGCCCGAGCCCTGCGACCCTGGCCTCTGCCAGGCGGAGCCCGTTCTCACGAACACACAAAGCTTGGTTACATACGTTTTCAGGCCCCTCGGTTTCACGCTAATGAGGAGTCTCGCACTTCCTAGGGCTTGCCTCCCTCTGCTCTTTTTATTTTCTACACTGGGCGAGTCTTTGTGCAGCACTCTTGGAAGTATTCATGTTTACATGCCGAAGCGCTGAAGGTAACGCGTTTATATGGTATACACGTGAGCTTCGTGTGTGTGTGTACACGTGTCTGCGTGTGTAGATAACATTTTATTGTGTCCTTAGTGCCAAGGTTATGAATACGCGATGTTGGGGGCTAAGATCCTGCAAAAAAGGAGTCGCGGGCCCACAGGCGGCGTGAGGGCTGAGGCGCTGGGCTCCTACGTGGCTGACTGCGGTGCGGGTCACGTTCCCCCCCACTCTGGTCAGCGCACATGCTCTGTAGCAAATTAAAACATAATAATGATGATAAATACATTTAAATAAATCATTCTTTAACAAAAAAGAAAAAAAAAAGGAGTCACAGGAGAAAAAGCACTGAAAAGGACTCCCGCAGGCCGCAGAAACCACCAGCAGAGTCCCCGAGGATGCAGAGCGGGCGGCCTGAGGCCGAGCACACACCTCGCAGGGTTCCCGACAGGCCCCAGGGCCTCGGGGCTGGGCTGGTCAGAAAACGGCCCCTCCAGTCCGGGCACGTGGTGTGTGTCACCGGGTGCCGAGGGGCCACTGGGTGCCGAGGGGCTGAGCCAGTCTCTAACCGTCAGCCCTGCGGTTCTCAAACTGTGGCCATTGTCACCCTCTGCTAGCGTGGCAACTGGCAGGCAGCCCCATGTGCGTGTCTACCGCATCTGTCTACACTGCATCCGTGTTCTAGAGAGGCTTAGGGGGCTGACTTCAGTAACTAGAGAGCCGCCCACCAAGGAAGAGGAAGATACCAGTCTGAATTGTTCGCGTTTCCTTGGCATGCATTATGACAACGGTCACTTCTGAAAGACCGAGCCTTACAGACGGAGGCCAGGGCTGTCCGGCCTAGCGCCGTCGTGCCCGGTGAGTCACACACGCGTGTCTGTGTTAGGCCTCTCCCTCCCCCGAGGACTAGCAGTAAAACCTGGACAAAGGCTGTTTACAGGTGGGGATGACGGGGGACCTGGCTTCTGCCCCCAAGGTCCTGCATCGCGTCCCTGAGAAGCGACCCCTGTTACAGACCTGGCGCCGTGGAGGAACGGGTGGGAGAGCTTCCCTCACTCAGCTGGACGCGCCTGCGGCCCCTGGAGTGAGAGAAACAAGCCCCAGAGGAAGCCGCTCAGGGCTCCTGTGCAGACCGCAGCCCCGGGTCAGTTACTCGGGCCCACGGCCTCCCTCTGGTGGTGGAAGATGTGCTAGGCTCCATTTTCAGATGTGTTCTAACCCGAGTCGCAGTTTACACACTGTTTTGCACACACGTCTGTGACAGCGTCACACGGAGTCCGTGCTATAACCGTGCGCGGACGGTGTCGGCCACACGGCCGTGTGAAGGCGCTCCCGGGCCCACAGGCTCCATTTCTCCCTCCCTAGCTGCTGCCCGGCAACCACCTGTCTTGGACTAAGGGCGCCGCTATTGAGAAGGGACCAGCAGGTGGTGTGGTCACATGGCTGCACTCCCACGTGGCTGCCTGCGGATCCAGTCCGGACCCAGAGGCTTGAAACTCTCGCCCCCGGGGCACGTGTGCATGCCCAAGATCCCAAGATGAGAATGGAGAAGGGATTGTGGCGTGGCCATCCCTCCTGAGGGGTGATTTCTCACTTTCTGTCTCTCTCTCTGGCAAGTTCATGCGCCCTACAGCAAAAAAATCTAAAACAAACAAACGAACAGCATGGGGTTGGGCTAGTTATGGAGCACCTTTCGCCCTAGGCGGTGTTATGCACCGGGACGACTAAGCTCCCGACGTGGCAGGGCCCCGCCAGGTACTCACAGGTCTTGGAAACAAAGGCGGTGTTGTGCACCGGGACGACTAAGCTCCCGACGTGGCAGGGCCCCGCCAGGTACTCACAGGTCTTGGAAACAAAGGCAAGAGGACAGAGAACATTCAGAGGCATTTTATTGCCAGACGCAGGGTATGAAATTTACTCTGGGGACCAGCAGATGGCGTAGTGGTTACACCGCTGGACTGCCACGTGGCCGGCCGTGGTCCCTGCCCCCACAGCTGTCTGGCCATCGTCTCTGGTCTGGGGACCCCTTCGACATCCAGTGTCCTGGCTCCCAGCCCCACCGCGGCGCGGGGTCCTCTCAGGGGTGGCTTCTGCATGGCCTGATGCTCTCCAGGTTCAGGAGCTGGGCCACATCCTGGCCTGCCCCGTCCACTTCCTCCTGTACTGACACACCACCCCGAGCCTTTTCTTCATCACCCGCAGCCCCGGCTCTCAGGGCCCTCGCCCCGCAGGGTCTGGCCTCTGGCCTGGCCCCAGCTCTGCCCTCAGCCCAGGAAATGCTGCTCCGGCCTCAGGTGGAAACCGGCTGCCTACCCTGCACACGGGTGTCAGCTGCCCAGGCCAGGCAGGGTTAGGCGCCTCGGCAGGTGCCACTTTACACCCAGGGACAACCAGCTCCTCCCCACTGAGGACTGGCTACCCAGGGGACATGGGCTGCCCAAAGTTCATGGCAGATGGGGTTAACATACGAGTTTATTTCAGCCCAGAAAGTTTAAAATCCGGGCATAGTTTTCTCATGACACGTGGTTTGCATGAGCTTTGTGAGGCTGCCCTGTATTTACAGGTGTGCTCACGTTTAACTTAGACTGACTGGGAGCTGGCGCTGGTTCGCGGAGATGTCACTGCTGGTCCCTCCCTTCGCTCCTCTCCTCTGCCAGGAGGAGCCCGCGGGGGATGCCAGCTGCCGAGGCTGGTCAGCCTGGAGAGAGCGTCCAGGTCTGAGGACAAAGGCTCCTTCAGTGAAGAGGGGCCGGCGAGTGAGGAAGCGCTGTTGTCACATGTCCTCGTTGGCCTAGGTTTCGTAAACACATTAGTCTCTAACGATGGCACAGACAGGGGGCTGGGGCTGATGGCATTGTCTGGAATGACCAGCCCGGAAGTTTCCACTGTGGGGATGTCACGGGATTTGGGACAAAGCCACTAGAACAAAGGACAGTCACCCAATATGGAAACGTACCAAGGTGAAAATGGGCTTGACATCTCACGTGGGGACAGCAGCAGAAGGCAGCACACACACACTGGGGTGAGGGACGGCGAGGGACAGGGACAGAGCTGGACGCCCGGTGGCCCTGGAGCTGCAGGCTGTGAGAGCAACCATGGGCGGCCCGGCCACGCAGCTGGCCTCGGCCTCATGACGTGCCCTGCATGGGGGTCTGCGGAGTGTAGGCTCGCCCACGCTGAGTTTCCGAGAGTGTGAACGCTCAGGAGTTGGCCCGTGAGGTCGTGCTGGCCGCGGAACAGGTCCGGAGTCTGGAAACCGGGAAAGACGCACAGCTCGAGCCCAAAGGCCGGCAGCCGACAGGCCTCCCCGCGGGACGCACAGCCGTCCGCTTTGTCTGCCTTCCTGCGGGGCCTCGGGTCTGTTGGCTGAGCTGGCTCGCAGTGGAGGGCAATCTACTATTTAGATTACGGATGTGAACATTAACCTCACCCAAACGATTCTGCATAGAAACATCAGAACAGCGCTCGGACAGAGACCCAGGTGTGGTGCGGCCGTGCTGATGCAGGGCGGTAGCCAGCCCCGGGTCACCGGGAAACCCACCACGAAAGGGCCGCCCTCCCCCACAGGCCGACGGGAGGACTGACCCGCTGGGAACCCACTGGGAACCCACTGGCCCTCCTGGTCACCTCACGCTGGGCCCGCCTCACTTCAGGCTCATCCGGGGCACCCTTCTCCTGCAGGGGACACCTGCTCACCTTCCAGGTCACACGTCAGCTCGGTGACACTCCAGTGCCACAGGCCGCCCGGCCTCCGTTGCCGTGGTCGTCCGCGTCCACGCCGTCATGGCTCGGGTCACGGCACATTGTGATCATGGGCGACGGCAGCGAGGCAGCCGGGTAGGCGGCCCCGGATCCCCCGACTCGGTCCCTGTGCTCGGCGAATCACCCCGGCTCTCTGCACTGGTTTCTTCACCGCCCAGGGAGCCTAACCGGTACCGACCACCTGCGCTGGTGGCGAGGACCTGTCAACATGCGTAACCTGCTCAAACCAGCACACACTAACCACTGAAAAACGGCCCCTGTTCATTCTCGGCGTCATGGTCACTCTGGCCCCGTCTGTGCCATGTGGCCAGTTCCGGTGTTGGGAGGGCGGGACAGTGTCCTGTCCCCTGGGATCCCGCCCCTGGTGGGCCTGCTCGAACACACAGTCCCTTACGGCGCTGGGTGCTCCGGCAAGGCCACGGCTGGCAATGCCGTCACCCAGACGAGCCTCCAAGCGACCTCACACAGTCACACTCGCCCCGTTTCATGGAAGAGGAGCCTGGGGAGTAGACGGGATGTGAACCGCCAAGCCACAGTATTTCCGACCCAAACCCTGACGCCAACTCCGAGGCTGTGAGGAAGTGCACGGGGCCGAGGATTCTGCAGAGGTTTGCTCCTGCCTGAGCCAGCCGGGCCCTACTGTTCTCACTGCCCAGGACGTGCACATGACGGCCAGGCACGGGGTCGCGCGCACCGCAGCCCCGACTGGGACCCTGTGAGCGGCGGCCCCGACTGGGACGGCTGAGTCGTGGCCACTAGTACAAGATGTCCTCGGCTGTGACCGTGGCCTCTTCAACTTTGGTCTTAATCTCGGGGAGCGGGACTTGGCTGAGGGCCACGACCAGCAGGTTTGTGGCAAGGGCCACCGCGCTGGCCACGCAGATCCAGAAGGACTCCTCGTACTGCTCCTCCACCACCACGAACCGGAACAGCTTCTCCTGGAAGTTGGCAATCCGCTCGGTCAGGTCGTGGAATTTCACCGCAGCCATGAAGCTGGCGATGCCCAACGCCACGGCGCCTCCTGAAACCAGAAATGCCACCGTCACGGCCCGTCCCCGCAGCCGCAGCGTTCCTCGGCCTGTGTGACATGCTCCCTCCAGGTGGATTAGGGTGACAGTGCCCTGCCGTGCAGGGCAGAGACAGGGCTGTGTGGGGAGAGGAGTGCACTTCACGTCGGGCGGCTTCGCGTCCACCCTTCCCTAGTGGCCTGAGGACAGAAGAGGCTGCAGAGAGGGAAGCCCACTGGGCTCGAGAGAGCAGAGGGGCAGACTGGAGAGATCCCAGCCTCGCATGCTGTCCTACCGTGGAGCTGCACGGACTAACCTCCCAGGAGGCCAGCTTCTACCCGTGGCTGGGACGCGTTCCCTGCATGTGTGCACATCTGGGTCTGTCTCGCCCCATTTCGATTTTATATATTCCTCCCCCATAGGGCTAGTGTGCTTGCAGGAGAGTCAGAAAGAGGTGATGAGAAAGAGAGAAAGCACCCCCTCCTGGGGGGCTGGCCACGCGGCAGTCTCCACACTGCATTCTCCTCCTGGGATTTTGGGAACACACACAAACGCTCAGTGTGATTTTCAAACCATCGGGTCAAGGACTCAAACCATGGTTGGCCATTCTCCCCTCCCAGGTCCCTGCCCCTTGTCCCTCCCTCCTCAGGTCTCTGTCCTACCCTCCGGGTCCCCACTCTCCCCACCCTGGCCCTGCCCTCGGTCACCGGCCTCTGTCAGTCCCGAAGCCCTTGGCCACCACAGGCTCTCACAGGGCCCTCTCCTGTGCCAGAGCGGCCCTGACTTCAGAGAGGAAGGTCCACCCCATGGAGGAGGCCGCAGACCAGGGGAGGAGAGGCGAGGCGGCACCTCGTCCTCCCTGCCACCCTGCCTCAAGCCCACCCCAGGCCAGGCGCTCCCTTACCTGCCAGGACGTTCCACAGACAGACGCCCCCGGGGCCGTGCATGGCGCGGGCCGGGACCTGGGCTGTGTTGAGCACGGCGAAGCCCAGGCTGACCAGGGCCAGGGCTGAGGCCAGGACGAGGAGCAGCAGGGTGGCCAGGTGGAGGCCGGCGTCCAGCTCCCTCAGCAGGTGTGGGAAGACTGTGGAGAGAGCCGGGTCAGCCCGCCGGGAGTTCCCGGGAGAGCGGAGGCGCCTGCGTCAGGCTGACAAGGAGTGGGAGAGGCCAGCAGGGGGTGCGGTGCCAAGGCACTGGACTCCCACGTGTGCAGAAACCCCCCGAGGAGCATGGAGGAGAGACTGCGGCGGGCCATGCTCTCTGGGGTGAGTTCTCGCACTCCTTGTGTGTCTCTGTCTCTCTGGTCAGAGCACGTGCCCTACAGCACACACCTTGACAGAAAGCAGCAGGAGGAGACGTCCCAGTGCCTTCTGGCCCCGACTGCTGGGCAGCACCCAGGCCCTCGTCCTTGAGCGCACTCAGGCCAGAGGGCCCTGGGGCGGTTCCCGATGCACTGGCCTCGCAAGTGGGATTTGAGGAGACCAGATGCACGTGAGCCCAAGCAGCAGCTCGGCAAGGGAAACACCCCGTCCCACAGGGAAGGAGCATGGACTCGCATGGTGTACCTCTCTGAGAGGTGGGGAGGGAGCGTCGACTCGCATGGTATACCTCGCTGAGAGGTGGGGAGGGAACGTGGCCTCCCGTGGCGCACCTGACTGAGAGGTGGGGAGGGAGCGTGGCCTCACGTGGTGCACCTCACTGAGAGGTGGGGAGGGAGCATGGCCTCACGTGGTGTACCTCTCTGAGAGGTGGGGGGGTAGCCTCGCGTCGCGCGCCGCACCTAGCTG